TTATATATAGAGAAAATACAATAAATCGAAAACGCACTATAATCATAGAAAAATAATCGCCGGTCGCTTTTTTCGCAATTTTGCTCAGTTTTTGATGCTTATATTTCTGTCGCAGATAACACTAAAATGTCTTTTTGCACTTTAGTTTGGTAGAGCAAACATTTTTCTACAAAATAAGACATTCGGCAACTCTAAGTGCGTTTTGAAATCTGATTCGGAACGACTTTGCTGGATGCCCTAATATCGATTGTTAATCGGTACATGCCTAATCCCGATCGGGATATGCCTCCTCACGTTTTTATGAAGGTAAATGCTATTAAGGTTGAACAATTGAATTGGAATCCAGTGTATTGCGAACCCAATATTATCCAATATTATTGTACAATATTATTGAGTGACCAATATTATTGGTCCTAATAGATTGGGTATACAATAATATTGGGACACAATATTATTGGATGGCCAACAATATTGTACAATATCTTCAATAATGATTGGTATTGGTGCATGCCTAGTTCGTATATGTTAAAGTGTTAAAGTGTTAACATTTTAACACTAAATCCGCGGCGACGGCGATTTCCGGATGTTATGTTTTTCGGTGGCTTATCACGTTGTCACGACAGAGAGAGCTGAAGAAGAGCTTCAAGACCTCCTCGTATCGCTTTCCTTGTCCATACGCCTTGACGGTGTGCCAAAATCTTCTGAACAACTTCAGGTGAATTTCCTTGTTGACGAAGTTGGCTTTGGCCTCGGGCATGAGTTGCAGGAGCCGAGGGAAAGATTGGTCCGTGTTCTTCCGAATGTACTGTTTGCTGTGACACCACCAACCCTCTATGGGGTTGGTTTCAAAGTGGTACTTCGGACAGAACACGACCTTGATTGTACCGAAGAGCAAGTTTTTCGAGCTTGCTGACCTGTAATGGAGAAATAAAAACGTCTTGCAACAGAGCTTGAAACAGGTCATTTCCACTCACATTTCCAAAGGCGGTGTGCTGAGAAACGATGGCCTTCAGTTGAGGGAGGGAGCACTTCTTCGGCACTTGTAATCCGAGTTCATCAGCGATCGCCAAAAGGCCCGTCCTGACCAAAACATTCGATCGTTCGAGATCGCATCTTTTCATCGACGAAGTTGATTTTATCGATGGGACAGCGAGTGCCGCTCTTCATCCCGAAATCGTTCACCGAGAACTCGGCAGCGGTGTGTGTTCTGGCATTGTCCACCAGGCACGCAAACTCGTGTCCCTTGAATTCCTCTTTGAATTGCAAGTAAGAAACATTTTTAAACATTTTATCCCATAAAATTAGAGATTTTTCCTACTGGTAAGAGGCAGAACAGGCGTTCGAACTGGGCGAGGACATTGTCATTGTCAAAGTAACTGTCCCCGCCTACGATGATGGTGCCTGACGCAGTGTTGGCCTCGTACGTAATATCCGTATCGAGCTCGCGCCGCCTCCTTGAATTCTTTGTCGGTGAGGGAGAGAGAGAGACCGGCAGGGTGCATCGCCAAAAAGTCAGACGACATCACGCTCCGTCCGCGCCCTTTATTATAAAAGGGCGCGTTGTCGGGAATGATCCATCGGCGAGCAGCAATTTCCCCGGATTTGTAAGTGCTTTCGTCGTGGCCTGGAAATAAAAGAATAAAATTCGGACAATTTTGGAACTTTCGAAAACTTACAAAGTAGTATTTTCGGATTATTTGCTGGCACTCTCCACGTCGGATTTTCACCATCAGTGATCGTGTAGAAACTGTCTTCGTGGCTGAGGAAGTACTGCACGAATTCGTCTCTGTGCTTCACCACATCCTCTCGTTCGTGGCCTGTAATAAAAAATATTTGTTTTAACTTTTAGTAGTGAATAAAACTACCAACTTACCGAGGAAGTAAGGGCGACCTGAATTTGCTTCGAATTTTGCCCCGAATTTGCGGATATCCAGCTTGCATGCTTCCACTGATCTCACGAACTTGTCGTCCACCTTTTTCTGATCGATCAGTTCATAAAACCGCTCGTCGATGAACCGTGCGAGAGTTTCCGCCTGAAATCATCGAATAATAAATTATTTGAAAAAATAGAAAATTCAATAACTGACTTACATTGAAGGACGCTTCTTTCTTCGAGCACTGTTCGTATACGAATTGACGGGCTTCGAGTTCAAGGTCAGGAAATGAGTCGAAAAAGGTATCGCCTCGTTTGCCGCCTCGTAGTCCGTCCTAAATATAAAAATATTGACTGTTTTTGAAATTTTCCCAATTTTTCGATAAAAACTCACGTGAACTCATCGAAATCCTTGTTAATAAGCACGTCAGCCCATTTGTGTGATGTTTGTGCAGTCATAGCACCGATTTCTTTGAGAAAATCGTCTATCGCACGCCAGGAGTACCCAAATCGGCGGAGGGTCATGTAGAGTAGAGTGCTCAGGAACCTCGTGTTGACGTCTTGTCCGCAGAGAGAGAACAGATCGGTAACATCACCGATCACCGAGGGATGAGCAAAATCAAGATGGCTGATGTCATCAAATTGCATCGATGCGAACTCCTCCTCTCCGCTTGACATTGGCTCAGAAGGAGGAACTGTTGAAGGAGGTGGGACTGTAGGAGTGTTGAGGCTTCCAGTTGAGTGCCGTTTGGCAGCGTTTAGGCGACGGGTACTTCGGTTTTTGCTCACTGTAGGCATCGTTAGCAGTTCGAAAAAACGAAGAAGATGAAGAACCAAATACGACAAGAAAAAGCAACAGTTTCCGAACTTAACTTAAACGTCAGGCACTTGCTGCTGAAATATCCAATTGTAGCGTCAGACAACAGATGGAGCGCTAGTCTAGAACGTCGTCATCAAGTGCTAGATAAGAATGTCTCAAAAACTCGTTGATACAACTTACAAACCCTCGAAAGCCCTTCAAAAACCTCCTAAAGACCCTCTGAAGTGCCTCTGAAGATCTCGAAAAATTATGAAACCAATTTCACTGGATTCAGCATATTTTTTTACGTATTTGCATGTCATTTTATCAATGTTTCACCATGAAACTCGGTACAAGTTCAAAATTCCTTTCTTCAGCTCAATGACATTTTTACTGGTACTATCCGTGTTGTG